TGCTCTCGTTGCCGGTGGCACATGCCATATGCGAAAAAAAAAAAAAAAACATGTCCACCTCTAGCCTCCAGCGCCTCTCTCCTCCCTGCCACATCCTGCAAGAGCTCTGATTCACCCCAACTTCAGTCGTCTCTCCTATTCTCACCTCTTCGAATATGACCCAAGGGACCTTGTCATCCCTGCCCCCGACATTTGGCAATGTCTAGAGACATTTTCGGTTGTCCTAACTAGGGAAGGGTGGGTCCCTCTGGCGTCCAGTGAGGAGAGACCAGGGATGCTGTGAATACCCCAGATGCACAGGCAGGCCACCCCTCCCCTACCTCCCGTACATGTCTAACCACGGTTCGAGTCCCGGGTCTGGTAGCTTGCTTTCCCACTCTCCCTCTCTCTTCTCTCTCTCTCTGCTTCTCTCTGGTGAATTAAAATTATTATTATTATTATTATAAATAAAATAATTCTTAAAAATAGGACACTTAGTCGCCAGCGTGATGGCACTTGGAGGTGGGGACTTTCGGAGGCAATGAGGTCTTGGGAGCTCTGGGATTGGCATCCAGAAAGCTCATTTACTCCTACTCTGTGAGGACACAGAGAAGAAGCACTGTCTATGAACCCGAGCGCGGGCCCTCACCAGACCCCAGACCTCGGCACCAGGATCTTGGACTTGCGCCTCCAGAGCTGTGAAAGATAAAGTTCTGTTGCTTAAACCACTTGCACTGTGGCATTTTTCTTATTGCAGACACGTGGACAGCTACACAGATGGCTCCTGTGGAGTGAGCGGGTGGCAGGGCCACCAAGTGTCCTTATGCCACTGGCACAGTGCACAGGGTACCCCTACAGAGAGATGTGGAGTGACCCGCCCCTAACACAGGAGTGCCACTTCCAGTGAATAAGAATGTGGGGGGTTATCAGGAAAGAAAGCGGGTGATAACAGCAATGATTAACGCCCCGAAGACACAGGACTTCTGACAGGAGCATGGAGTTGGGGGGGGGCGGAGTCATGGCTGACCCTTTAGGCTCAGGCATTCTCAGGAAGTGGAAGCACCCAGAGAGCCTGAGGATGGAGGGGATTTGCTTTAAGAGCTGCAGTTCCAGAGGCTTCTCAGTCAGGACTGGAAGGCCGGGGGGGTGGACTGGCAAGGGAGAGAGAAGGAAATGGGCAGTGGAGGAAGAGCTCTGCGCGAAGTACAGATCATGGGGCTCATGGGCCGGACAGGATCGTATTTTGGAAACTGGGAAACAGGGCTGAAAAGAAAGACTGAGCCTCAAGAGAAGCAGAGTTGCCTCTCTGCAGGGCCGGGGCAGGGCAGCCGTGAGCCTGGCAGTGCACTTTCAGCAGTCAGTGACGGCAGCTTTCCGGGTACTTTGTGACACGTACGAGCCCCGCAATCTGTTACGGTGCACTCTTTGCTGACGCCTTCCGAGACACAGACCTCCCTTCCAACCGCTAACCTCAGGATGGTAAAAGCTGCCTATCAGCTACGAGCCTCCTCCCACCCCCGCTTCAAGATGTCCTGCTTTTTGGGCCCAAACCAATAGGAAAACTCTTCAATAAATTCCAAACTGTATCTCTCACTCTCAAAATCAAATAAAAAGGACCCCTATAACTGATCCTAAGAAAGGCATGTTTGCCTTTTCTCTGGGCCTAGGTCACACATATTTGTGCTTAGAAATAAATCTCATTGGGACCAGCAGTTGGCGTAATGGCTATGTCGCTGGACTCCCATAGAGTAGACCACAGTTTGAGTTCTGGGCCCGGTGGCTTAAACTCACACCAGGCGTGTGTGCGTGCGTGCCCAAGATCCCGAGAGGAGAATAGAGGGGAAGGAATTGCAGCGTGGCCATCCCCACTTGGGGGTGATTTCTCGCTTTCTGTCTCTTTGTCTCTGTCTTTCTGGCGAGCGCATGCGCCCTATAGCAAAAACATCTGAAAAAAGAAAAAAGAAAGAAAGAAATAAACCTCATTAATTATTATTTCTTCAGAGTTAGTTATTTTCATCAACAAGAAGTAAAGACTCCAATTTATTCCGCAAACAGACTAAAAGACAGTTTGTCACGTTCTACACAGGCCATCAAAAACTTCATGGAAAATGGAATTAAAGTTGATTTTGGTGCAAAAAATTTTGAAATTCATGCATAGATTTTACATAATACTTATTTTCCATGAACTTTTGAAGACCTCATTTTTTTTCTTTTTTTAGTTTTGCTATAGTGCATGCATGCTGTCCAGAGAGAGACAGAAAGAGAGAGAAAGAGAGAGAAAGTGAAAAATCACTCCCCGGGGGGATGGCCACGTCACAGTCCCTTCTCCATTCTCTTTTTGGGATTTTGGGCACACACATGCACAAGTGGCTGAGTTCAGGACTTGAACCACACAATCCGTCATGTGGGATCCAATCACTTTAACCACCGTACCACCTGCTGGCCCCAATCTTTTCGTAGTTTTAAAAAATACATGCTGCGCAGGGCATGCAGGTGGCAAGGTAGTTAAGGTGCTGGATTCACGCATGACCAACTGAGCAGTCTGAGTCCCAGATCCGGCAGCTTGAAAATCACACTAGGGTTGTGTCTGTGTGTGCCCAAGAGGAGAATGAAGGAGAAGGGATCGCGGCCTGGGCTGATTTCTCACTCTCTGTCTCTCTCCAGAAAGCACAACATCCTATGGCAAAAAGCTAAATATATATAATATAAAACTTGATTCTGTTTGCTATTATTTTATTTAGGATTTTTGTACTGATATTCAAAAGTGAGTGGGTGATAACTATTTTTTTCAACATCTAATGCTTGGTTTTCGAATCAACATTATGCTCATGCCATAAAAAGTTTGGAAGCGTTTACTCTCCTTTAACAGCTTAAGACGCACTAAAATGATGTGTTCTTCGAAGTCCGATCACTTCCTGGTTGAAAAGTTGGGGTCTGATGCTTTCCTTGGAGGAGGTAACTCTTTGACAAACATATTCCTCCTGTGGTTATTTTATCATTTCGATTTATAATTTAGATTCTTAAAAATTCTTCTGGAGTTA